GGTTTTTCCAGTAGTCATGTATGGATGTGAGAGTTGGACCATAAAGAAAGCTGAGAAGCCAAAGAATTGATGCTTTTGAACTATGGTGTTGGAGAAGACTCTTGAGAGTCCTTTGGACTGCAAGGACATCCAACCAGGCCATCCTAAAGGTAATCAGTCCTGAATATTCACTGGAAGGACTGATGCTGAAGCTGAAACTCCAATATTTTGGCCACCTGATGTGAACAACTGACTCATTTGAAAAGACTCTGATACTGGGAAAGATTCAAGGCAGGAGGAGGAGAAGGGGATGACAGAGGAAGAGATGGTTGGATGGCATCATCAACTCAACGGACATGAATTTGAGCAAGCTCCAGAAGTTGGTAATGGACAGGGAAGCCTAGCATGCTGCAGTCCATGGGGTCACAAAGAGTAAGACATCACTGAGCAATTGAAGTTAACTGAACATGACTATTGGAAAAACCATAGCTCTGACTATACAGATCTTTATCAACAAAATAATATTTCTGCTTTTTAATACGCTATCTAGGTTTGTCACTTCTTTCCTTCCAAGGAGCAAGTACCCTTAATTTCATGGCTGAAGTCACTGTCAGCAGTGATTCTGGAGCCAAAGAAAAGAAAATCTGTCTTGGCTTTCATTCCCCCCCCCCTTCTATTTGCCATAAATTGTTGGGACCAAATGCCATGACCTTAGTTTATTGAATACTGAGTTTCAAGGCAGGTTTTTCACTCTCCTCTTTACCTTCATCAAGAGGCTCTTTAATTCCCCTTTGCTTTCTGCCATTAGAGTGGTATCATCTGCAAATCTGAGGTTGTTGATATCTTTTCTGGCAATCTTGATTCTAGCTTGTGAGTCATCCAGCCTAGCATTTTGCATGATGTACTCTGCATATAAGTTAAACAAGCAGGGTGACAATATATAGCCTTGATGTACTCCTTCTCAATTTTTAACCAGTCAGTTGTTCCAAGTCTGGTTCTAACTGTTGATTCTTGACCCACATACAGATTTCTCAGTCGACAGGTCAGGTGGTCTGGTATTCCCAGCTCTTGAAGAATTTTACAGAGTTTGTTGTGATCCACAGAGTCAAAAGCTTTCACATATTCAATGAAACAGAAGTAAATGATTTTCTGGAATTTCTATGCTTTCCCTATGATCCAATGGATGTTGGCAATTTGATCTCTGGTTCCTCTGCCTCTTTGAAACCCAGCCTATACATTTGGAAGTCCCTGGCTTATGTATTGTGGAAGCCTACCTTGAAGGATTTTGAACATTACCTTGCTAGCATGTGAAATGAGAGCAGTTGTATGGTAGTTTGAACATTCTTTGGCATTGTCCTTCTTTGGGATTTGAATGAAAACTGATCTTTTCCAGTTCTATGGCCACTGGTGAGTTTTCCAATTAGCTGTTAAGGTGCTCAGTGCCTTAACAGCATCATCGTTTAGGATTTGAAGGAGCTCAGCTGTAATTCCATCACCTCCACCAGCTTTGTTAATAGTAATGCTTCCTAAGACACAGCTTACTTCAAACTCCAGGATGTCTGGCTCTAGATGAGTGACCACTTCACTGTGATTATCTGGGTCATTAAGACCATTTTCCCTAGTTCTTCTGTGTATTCTTGCCACCTCTTCTTAATCTCATCTGCTCTGTTAGGTCCTTACCATTTCTTTCCTTTATCATGCTCATTCTTGCATGGAATGTTCCCTTGATATCTCCAGTTTTCCTGAAGAGATCTCTAGTCTTTCCCATTCTATTGTTTTCCTCTATTTCTTTGCATTATTTATTTAAGAAGGCTTTCTTATCTCTCTGTACTATTCTCTAGAACTTGCATTCCGTTAGGTAAAACTTTCTCTTTCTCCCTTGCCTTTCATTTCTCTTCTTTTCTCAGGTATTTGTGAAGCCTCCTTGGAGAACCACTTTGCCTTCTTGCATATCTTTTTCCTTAGGTTGGTTTTGGTCACTGCCTCCTGTACAATGTTACTAACCCTCATCCATAAACTTCAGGCACTCTGTCTACCAGATCTAATCCCATAAATTTATTCATCACTTCCACTATATAATCAGAAGGGATTTGATTTAGGTCATACACGAACGGCTTCCCTGGTGGCTCAGATGGTAATGAATCTGCCTGCAATGCAGGATACTGGGTTCAATCTCTGGGTCAGGAAGATGCCCTAAAGAAGAGAACAGCAACTCACTCCAGTATTCTTGCCTGGAGAATCCCAAGGACACATGAGTATGGCAGGCTACAGTCCCTTGGACCACAAACAGTTGGACACAACTCAGCGATTCACACTTTGAATGGCCTAGTGCTTTTCCCCACATCTTAAATTTAAGCCTGAATTTTCCAATAAGGAGCTCATGATCTGAGCCACAGTTAGCTCCATGTCTTGTTTTTGCTGACTGTATAGAGCTTCTCCATCTTAAGTTTCAAAGAACATCATCAATCTGATTTTGGTATTGACCATCTGGTGATTTCCACGTATAAAGTTGTCTCTTCGGTTTTGGCAAAAGGTGTTTGCTACAACCAGCATGTTCTCTTAACAAAACTCTGTTAGCCTTTCCCCTGATTCATTTTTAACTCTAAGACCAAATTTGCATATTATTCTGAGTAGCTCTTGACTTCCTACTTTTGCAGTGCAATCCCCCTATGATGAAAAGGATACCCTTTTTTGATGTTAGTTTTAGAAGGTGTTGTAAGCCTTCATAGAACCAGTCCACTTCAGCTTCTTTGGCATCAGTGGTTGGGACATAGACTTGGATTACTGTGATGTTGAATGGTTTGCTTTGGAAATGAACCAAGATCATTCTGTCGTTTTTGAGATCGTATCCAAGTACTGCATTTTGTTGACTATGAGGGTTACTCCATTTCTTCTATGGGATTCCTGCCCACAGTAGTAGATATAATGGTCACACCCATTCCTGTCCATTTTAGTTCAGTGATTTTGAAGATGCCAGTGTTCAAACTCACCATCTTCTGCTTGACCATGTCAAATTTCCCTTGATTCATGAACCTAACATCCAGGTTCCAATGAAATACTGTTGTGCATCAAACTTTTACTTTCACCACCAAACACATCCACAACTGAGCATCTTTTCCAATTTGGCACAGTCGCTTCATTCATTCTGGAGCTACTAGTAATTGCCCTCTGCTCTTCCCCAGTAGCATAATGGACACCTTCCAACCTTGGGGGGCTCAATTTCCAGTGCCATCTTCTATTTATTTTTTCCCTTTTCATAGTGTTCATGGGATTCTCAGGGCAAGACTACTGGCACTGTTTGCCATTTCTTCCACCAGTGGATCACATTTTGTCAGAACTCTTCACTATGACCCGCCCATCTTGGATAGCCCTGCACAGTATGTCTCATAGTTTCATTGAGTTACACAAGCCCCTTTGCCAAAAATGACTGTGATCCATAAGGGGGAAGAAAGCACAGTCTTTTCCCATGATGATGCTAGAACAATGAGATATTTATATGCAAAAAGAGGACAAGATGTATGGTTGAGTTCCTTCAGCTGTTCACCTGAAACTATCACAACATTATTAATCAGCTATACCCAAATTCCAAATTAAAATTTTTAAAAAATGCCTGAAATAAAAAGGATTCTATTTTCAAAACTCAAATACAGTTCTACATTTCTTAAACAGAACACCATAAACTATCATTCAGAAAAGGAAAAAAGCATTATAAATTAGACATCATCAAAACTAAGAACTTCTGCTTTTTGAAAGACACTGTTAAAGAGAATGAAAGGATAAACAATAGACCAGAAGAATATATTTTCAAACATACATGATAAAGGACCCAGCATTTAAAATATATCAAGACTTTCAAAATTTAGTAACAAAAAATACCCAATAAAAAATGGGCCAAAGATTTAAACAGACATTTTTATTAAAAAAGATACATACATGTCAAATAAGCACATGAAGAGATGTTCAATATCATTAATCATTAAGGCTATAAAAATTCAAAACCACAATAAGGTATCATCATACACTTATCAGATACACAAAATTAAAACAAGACTGACCAAACCAAGTGTTGGTAAGATTGTGGAACAACTGAAACTCTCATATACTGCTGGTGAGAATGCAAAAATTATACAACTTCTTTGGAAAATAGCTTGACAGTATCTTTAAAATAAGTTAAAATATACACCTACTATATAACCCAGTCATTATATTCTCAGATATTTAACCATGAAAAACAAAAACATATGTCCATACATGAACGTTTCTAGTAGCTTTATTAGTATTATCCAAAAATAGCAAAAAATGTATATCCATCAACAAGTGAATGAATAGACAAATCATTGTGTATCTATACAGTGGAATACCACTCAGCAATAAAAATGAACTACTGATGCATGCCACAACTTCAATGAATCTCGAAATAATTATGCTAAGCTAAATAAGCCAGACAAAAAAACAATACATACCATAAGATTTCATTTATATAAAGCCCTAGAACATGCAAACCGAATAGTAACAGAAAGCAGATTCAGTACTGGTGGGGCAGGAGGGAAGCATTACAAAAGAACACAAGAAAACTGTTGGAGGCAATGGATAAACTAATTATTTTGATTGTATTGATGGTTTATTAAGTTTACACAAATGTCTTATCAAAGCATGTACTTTAGTAAGTACAGTTTGTTGCATGTCAACTGTACCTCGCTAAAACTGTTTTAAATATGAATAAATTAAAGCTTACTCCCAAAGGCATTTTGGTAGCTTGAGTAGCCAAAGTCCTAGGCTTGTCCCTATCTACTACATCCAGTTATTTATACTGATCTTTTTCCTAAGAGAAAAATGAGTAACACATTGAAATTATTTAAATGACAGTCAGAAAATGCCATTAACTGGCACATTCATGAAATATTATGTAACCAAAAAAAGAATATTTAAAATTTCTATAGCAAAAAGTAATTAGCAAAACAACAAAAACAATGTCTTAGTTTTGTTTCAATAAAATATAGCAAAAATTTACAGATACTCACCTCTTTGGATAATCTTGTGAAGACATCTCCTCCCCTGAGAAAATCCAATATTAAATACAGCTTCCCTTCAGTCTGAAAGGCTAATTAGAAATTAAAATGCAGACATAACAATTTTTAAGGCTTACAAAGCTTAGTATACTTTTTACTTAATATAGCTGTTTAGAATTTTATCACTGAACACTATACTGAAATTAACCATTTACTTACATGGCCCATTATTAGATAACATTATTTCAAAATTAAAACTAGTGTTGAAAAGCTATAATCCCCTTTCCAGAATATATCAGATGTTCTACATGTAGCTCTGCACAGAAACTTGTAACATCATCATTTTCCTCACTTATGAAGCACCATAATCTACTGCAATTGCCTGAACACTACCTCCCCATCTATTGAAAATCTACTAATTCAGTCAAGCTCAACAAAAATGTCACCCCCTCTTTCTTCTATTAAGAGACTTTCTTCTATTAAGGACTTCCTCCTTTTCATATTTCCCCACAGCGTCCTTACACTCTTTCCCATCAGAATTACTGGCTACTACTTTTGAGATCTCATTGTACTTTATTTATATCTTATGGTACCTTAATCCATTTTGATTTATAAAATTAATTGGTCTTATATGTCTGTGTTCCATATACATTATAAATTTCTTAAGATCAGAGATTATATCCCCTCTAGAGCCTACTGATTTTAACAGAATATTTTGCATAAAACTGGTGTTTAGTGATTAATCTAATGATATCCCAGAGATTCAAGGAAGGAGATCTTTAGATATTACTACTACTTTCATTCCATTTGGGTAATGGGGAATGAAAGAATAATGGGTGAAAAATTCTAGATTTTTTTTTTTATAGAGAGTTGAGTACTACAATGCATATTTGTCAAAATTACCTAAAAATAAAATCAATGGCTGCTATTCTTCTAAATTTCAAAAACTGAGAGCAACATAGTAGACTGGATCAGTAATTTTGCCTTTGAATTCCCCAGGGAAGTTAAATGCCATAATCCCATGCATACAATAAATTGGCATTGGAGCCATTATTAAAATTCAGAACTGCATGGGTTGGAAGAATAATAGTTAAAATGACCATACTGCCCAAAGCAATCTAAAGATTCAATGCAATCCCTACTGAAATACCAATGGCATTTTTCACAGAACCAGAACAAGTAATTTTAAAATTTGTATGGAAATACCGAAGACGCTGAATAGCCAAAACAATCATAAAAAAGAAGAACAAAGCTAGAGGCATCACACTTCCTAACTTCAGATCATGCTAAAAGCTACAGAAATCAAAACAGTATGCACTGACATAAATAGAGACATAAATATCAATGGAACAGAATAGAGAGCCCAGAAATAAAACCACACACCTATGATCGATTAATCTGCAACAAAGGTGACAAGAATATACAAAACAGAAAAAAGGAGTCTCTTCCGTAAATGGTGCTGGGAAAACCGGACTGTTGCATGTAAAAGAATGAATTTTTCTAACATCATATATAAAAGTAAACTCAAAGTGGATTAAAGACCTAAATGTAAGACCATAAACCATAAAACTTCTAGAAGAGAACATAGGTAGAACACTGTTTGACATAAATCATAAATCCTTAGGGATTTCTCTCCTAAGGCAAAGGAAACAGAAGCAAAAATAAACAGGTCAGACCTAATTAAAATGAAAAGCTCTAGCACAGCAAAGGAAACCATCAACAAAATGAAAAGACAACCTACTAAATTGGAAAAAATATTTTCAAATGATATGACTAATAAGGAGCTAATATTCAAAATATATAAACAGCCTATATATCTCATCATCAAAAAAACAAACAACCCAATTTAAAAAATGGGCAGAAGACCTGAATAGACATTTTTCCAAAGAAGACATACAGATGGCCAACTAGCACATGAAAAGATGTTCAATATCACTAATCATCACTGTATCAAAACTCCAATGAGATACCATCTCATCAAAAATGATTTCTGACACATCTATCAAAAATGTATATCATGAAAAAGACTACGAATAACAAATGTTGGAAAGGATGTGGACAAAGTGAAACCCTTGTACTGTCAGAAGTTATGTATATTGGTGCAAGCACTGTGGAAAACAATATGAAGGTTCTTCAAAAGAATAAAAATATAACTCAGCAATTCCACACTTGGGTATATATCTGAAGAAAATGAAAATATTGCCACAAAAAAATGTATGCACCACAATGTTCACAGCAGAATTTTTTATAGTACACAAGATATGGAAGCAACCTAAGTATCCATCAACAGGTAAATGTATTAAATAAAGATGTGGAAAATACATATGTATATACATACACACACACATACATACATCTACACACACATACACAATGGAGTATTACTCACCCATAAAAAATAATGAAATATTGTCATTTACAAGAACATGGATGGGTTTAGAGGGTATTTTGATTAGTGAAATATGTCTTAAAAAGGCAAATATTGGATGATATCACTTACATTTGGAATCAAAAAATAGATTGGTGAATTTAACAAAAAAGGAACAAACTTCTGGAGAACTAGTGGTTACCAACGGGGAAAGGTAGGGGAAAGTGGCAAGATAGGGGTACGGGATTAAGAGGTACAAACTACTATGTATAAAATAAATAAGCTACAAGGATATATAGAATAACACAGGGAATGTAACAAATATTTTATAATAAGTATAAATGGAATATAACCTCAAAAATTGTGAATCACTATACTGTACACCTAAAACATATAATACTGTAAATCAACTATACCTCAACTAAAAAAAAAAAAAAAAACCTCAGAAATCTTTGACTCCAAATTCATGTTCTTTCCATTGTACCTATTTCTTCTCACTAGTATTCCTCTCCCTCTAAATATAAGAAAAAATAACTCAAATAGACTAGCATACCATATGGTCCTCTTCAACAGGATGAGGAATATGATCATTATGAACATGTAAGAGGAACCCATTCAAACACAAGAATGTTTTGAGTAAATTATCACAGTAGTTTATAGCCTAAGATCCCTAGAGGTATAGCCTAGTAGAGTACAGAAATTCTACTAGACAAGTAGTCAAAAGACACTATCCTGTTACTTAGACAAGCTAACCAACAAATATAGGAAATACAACTAAAAGCTGGATATTAATTCTTATTTCAGATAAGTATGTTTTACATAGTTGAAAGTATTAAATCATTCCATATTTATTTCCTGTTTGACATATTTATCTTATGTTACATTATTGTCTGAAAGGAAATATTAGTTCTCTAACTCCATATTTTTTAAAAAAAGATTACATACCATAGTGCAATTTGACAATAAATGGATGATTTACTTCCACCAGTATATCCCTCTCCATCTTTGTCCGAATTCTGTCTCGAACTAAAAATTACAGAAGGGTAGAGTATATTGTTCTTGTATATAATTTCAGTAGAGATCCCATCAATAATTCACCAAACACAAATATAGAAATTTATAATATAACTTTGTAAGTGCCTGAATTTGAAGTCAATATTCCTAGGCAGTAATTACCATAGTATAAAAGCTAACAAATTCAGTTTAGATCTAGAGATGGGTTAAGTGCCACAGTGTTATTTGGCGGATAATCATTATACATTAGTGTTCAAATGAGTTCGCTGACTAAAACTGAGCACACTGTTATTGTTATCACAGCCTGGAAGACAGTGTATATAAGTGTGTGCAGATGGCTGTGCCTTCTCAATATGTAATACCAACAGATGGAACAGAAAAAATAAGAATCTTGAAGAAAAAGAATATAGTTTAATAAAATAAGTTCACTTTAAATTAAACAAAATATATCACTTTTTATCCCATTAATTCTTTTTTCATCAGGATACACTCTCACTAAATAAGGGTATATGTCAATATCAAACCTAAAAATATCACTTACCACTAGAAAGCTATAACAATTACTAATGCTAAAAGGAAACTAAATCTACTCTCATAGGCAATACATAGCACATTTCTTAAAACAAGTTTTACCAAGTTCTATTTTAATAAGCTTTCTGATCTTCTACCTTTTAAAGAAGCTTTTTTTAACACCTTCATTGCATAGAGTTGTCCAGCATCAGGACCAGTCTTCTTTCTAACGAGAAATACCTAATAGAAGAATTAAAATTTAAAAAGTGAAATTCACATCCCAAGCCATTCTTGCTATACATATACATTAGCATATACAAATAGCCTTACATATTCTCTAATTGTATAAAGATATACTTTTCCCTATAAATTATACTTAGTTTACACTTTCTCATTTTCATTCACTTAGTAAATCACATGCTCATACATCCTACTGTGGAAAAGAAAATTTAAAAGAACATTTGAGAAGTTTGTGATATAAGAGATAAATAATATAATGAAAGACAATTTGAGCTAAGGGAGCTCCTTATAAGACACAAGCTCCTTTTTGTTTTCTTAATATGGAGCAAACAAATGTAATTACTGTTAATTTGACACCTTCATTTCTAGTTTCCTATTGGTCCATTTTAGAAGTTACCAGGTATTTTATTTTCTAATAGGGCTTCCCTGGTGACTCAGACAGTAAAGAATCTGCCTGCGATGCAGGAGACCCAGGTCCACACCTGGCTCATGAAGACAAGGAGGAAAATGCAACCCACTTCAGTATTCTTGCCTGGAGAATTCCATGGACAGAGGAGCCTGGAGGGCTACACTCCATGGGGTTGCAAAGAGTCAGAGAAGAATGAGCGACTAAAATTTTCACTTTATTTTCTAATGAGATATTAGAGGCAATTCTTTTTTTTTCATTTATTTTTACTAGTTGGAGGCTAATTACTTTACAATATTGTAGTGGTTTTTGTCATACATTGACATGAATTAGCCATGGATTTACATGTATTCCCCATCCCGATCCCCGCTCCCATCTCCCTCTCGACCCGATCCCTTTGGCTCTTCCCAGTGCACCAGGTCCGAGCACTTGTCTCATGCATCCAACCTGGGCTGGTGATCTGTTTCACCCTAGATAATATACATGTTTCAATTCTTATCTATCTGCCAAGTGAAAGAATCATGATGGCAAATATTTCAATAAAAAAATGAAAGTTACCGAGTAAGCTTAAAGTAATAATTTCTCATTTTTTCAAACCAAGAAATGATTCATTAAAAGGTAAGTTTCAAAAAGCCTCAATTATGAAAATGGATATGAGTATATTATAGTTTCATAACAGTTATTTACTATTAAAGGGTTTTAAATTAGTTTTAAATGAGTATTCACTGCCTCAACCTGCCATCCTCAACTCTAACAAGCTCTATTCAAATGCTGATAAATTTAAAATGTGATCAAATTAACTAATTTGTATACATAAAACTGCAGATTGAAGAGCTTCTAAGTAATTTTTGTCTTTTTCCTATGGTAGAACTTGAAATTCTTTATTCCAAATATTCTATGTGATATATATCAGCCAACAGGCAAGTGGGGGGGGGGGTCATTTAATCATTACTTAATCTCTCCTTCTCCTATTCTTGTATCAGACCTAAATTAAAGGACCATTTCAGTTTTATCTGTTTTCACACTGTCTATTGTAGTGCTTCTCATACTTTGTGTGTAGACCAACCAGTCTTTTTTCCCCCCATTCCTCCAGATCCACTGCATACCATTACTTACTATTTCATCAGTGAAAAACCATGGACTTATATGTATTTGTATAGCTGATTTCAGTCTATAGAAGTTTTTAAAAAGCAGATTAAATTAACTGCCATAATAAACACACAAAAGCTTCAAAGTTAAGCAAATGGCATTAACCCTAAGTACCAGACTTAGTTTTTATTCATTTTAATGACATGGACAAATAAATGTTGATAAACAGTTTCCTTTTTTTCTAATCAATATCAGATGATCAAGATATTGACAACAAAGGAGTCAAGTCATTTCATGAGTGATGACTCCATTACAAGTAGGAGAACTATCTTTCTCAGTTTCTTCCAAGAAAGCATTTCTCAATTATTTTTGGTCTCAAGAATTCTTTTACAAACTTAAAAATTACTGATGACTTCAAAGTACTTTTGTTTTTGTGGGTTATAATTATTGATATTTACTATATTAGAAATTACAGCAAAAAATTAACTATGTATTTATTGATTAAAAACAATAAACTTATTACATGTGAATATAAATATTTTTTATAAAAATGACTATTTTTTTCCTAAACAAATCAAAAAATATCACTGAGAAGACTGACACTGATTTACATTTCTACAAGTCCCTAATATCTGGCTTAACAGAAAATAGTTGGATTCTTGTATTTGCTTCTATATTCAATCTGTTGCAATTAAACTGCTTTGCTTAAATTATAAGAAGAAAAGCACGCTTCACACAGTTAAGTATTTGGAAAAGGGAGAAGTATTTTAATAGCCTTTTCATATAATTGTGGTTATTCTTCTTTGATATGACACAAGAATTTGACAAGAAGAAGTTTCTTAAAGATTAGTTGCAGTGAAAAATCTGAGACCACATCAATTAACTGTCCATATTCTTTTACATAACAATCCACTGGTCTGTGGGACATGTTGAATGGGTTTTGCACTGATGGATGATTTGATAACATCATGTGTTTGTCAACTCAAAAGTACTGGTTCACTGAGTTATGCAGATCTTCCAAATGTTGACAGTAGCAATCTCATCAGGAAAGTATTTTGAGTACTGAGAACATGTTGAGCACAGTGGCAAATTAAAATTGGCCAAAATTCTACTTTTTTGCTTTGAAGTTCAAATTTTATCATTGGCTAAAATACTGTTCTTCTCCATGAAATAACAGGTTACTCTATTCATTTTTGAGGAAAACATCTACCAAATGCCCAAGTTTAAGTTATCATAGTTTGTCAATCATTCTTTCATGGAAAAATGACATTTCATGAAAAAAGTGTCTAGTGTAGCTCACAGTTCAAAAAACTTCACAAGTATTCTGTCTTGAGACAATCATATTTTTTGGTGTGCAGCTAAAGTACTTTGGGTACTTCTCATATCATCCCACAATATTAAAAAGAAGCATATCAAGGATTGATATTTGATAAATCTAATCATTGTTAACACCTCATCAAGGACATTCTTAAGTAAAACTTGTATTTTTCTAACTATGTGTGGCAGTGAAGGTCATAATGATTACTGATAGCTTAAAATCACTTCCTGGATTGTGCTAAAGTGTCAAAAAATTTACAAATAATATCTTAGCATTATTATAACACAGTCTTGTTCTTAAGGACTCCCTAAAAGTGTCTTGTGGATATCCAAGGGTAATAAGATCACACTTTGAGAACTACTGTTCTAGAACACAGCCTTTTGTGGGGCTGAAAAGAATGGAATACAGAGAGTAAAAAGAGGCAATTAAGAAAGAAAACAATAGCCCAGGTTTTCTGAAAAGACACACAAAGCAGCCACTGTTCCCCTATCTCTTAAAACACTCACTAATATCTCAATATGGCATCTAATAGAAGCCATCATTCACAGGCTAGGGAAGTAATTGTTTACTTTTTCATTACCTGATTTGTTCTTTTCAGGTCTAATGAATGAACTTTCCTAACATAAGAAAACATCATCTCACTCTACTTTCTTTCCATAATCAACTACAGAAGCTGCATGATTTCCAATTACTGTTATCGAAAAACATAGCTCTCCTGATGAGAGGTTTCTTTACAGCCAACCTAATCCAATTCTCAGAAATTGTTCAAAAGAGAAATGAATGAGTGAATTACTCCAACATACTTTCTCTCTGTCATATGGACTTCATTAAGAAGTATTTGCTGGCTGAAGTGAAGTGGAAAAACTGCACAGTTTTAACACTAATTGGAAACAAAGGACCAACTGAAAGAAATTTTAAGTTGTAAACACATATACTTAATCAATCACTTAAGAGGGCAAGCGTTTGGTATTTTCAAAAATTCATTTTAAAGTCCTAAAATTAAAGGTTTTCCTATCACAAAAGCAAACCAAAAAAAGGAATATTAAAATGTATGCTTTATGTAAATATGATTTGACATGTGAAATATATGAAAGGCTAGTCTGACAATGCCAAAGATGTTTTCATGTGTTTTATTTTATTGTGTTTTACTCCATGGCTGTTTCATGTCAATGTATGACAAAACCCACTGCAATGTTGTAAAGTAATTAGCCTCCAACTAATAAAAATAAATGAAAAAAAATAAGTTATTTAGTATACTTTATTTCAATTCACACATTACTTAATGTGCTTATTACAGAATTTTATATGCATCTTTTGGTGGCTCAGTGGTAAAGAATCTGCCTGCCAAAGCAGGAGACATAGGTTTAATCCTGAGGTTGGGAAGATCCCCTGGAGAAGGAAATGACTACTCACACCAGTACTCTTGCCTGGGAAATCCCATGGACACAGGAGCCTGTTGGGCTATAGCCCATGGGGTCACAAAAGAATCAGGCATGACTTAGCAACTAAACAACAACAACAATATAAGTTGTTTGGTATACTTCATTTCAATCCACACATTACTCAATGTGCTTACTACAGAATTTTATATGCATCTTTTATGATAATACATGCATCTTTAAAATACAATTTTACAACTGATTTTCATAGTATTTTTCCTTATTAAATAGATTGTATAGATATTCATGTCACAAAGTTTATATATGCTAAAATACATTTATTGCATTTTAACAATGGAACTTTCATAGAAAAACTTATAAATAAGACTACAGCTCAAAGTTTCTTGGAATTGCTCCGACACTTATCTGATTCACAGCCTTGGCCAAATTCCTGACTAGGTTTGGCATATAACAAGTCCCAACCACACAATGCCTACGCAAATGATGTAATACTGACAAGCAAGTGTTTTCACATCCTAGGAAGAAAAAAATAAGCCACTTCCCTAATATTTCTTTGGTTGATGACCTGCAAAAGGATCACTATCCTGTATTTTAGTATTAGGAATTTTTTTAAAGGGCTTCTAAGATATCCTTGTTAAATCAAAGTTCCTGCACAAAGTTGAACGAAAATTCCTGAATTTTTTAAGGAATACATTGACAATTTGTCAGCATGCTTCTATATTTAGTGTGAAGATGTTATTGAAGACATTCATTATGTTATACTGTATTTTCTTTATAAAGCTCCATAAGAAAAATTTCTCTGGCCTGTTTGATATACTTCTTAAAGATTCTGTTAATAATAATACAATTAAATGTATCAGCCTCTTTACAAAGCAGCCAGAAATTTTGAGGCCTTTACACCATGCATTTGTGAACAACAGAGTTTATTCCTGGCTTCAACTCATCTTTGCTGTTCTAATTTTTCTGCTTCCATCATCATCCCCACTTATTTTTAATTTTATTTTCTTTAGTATTCATTTATGAAAGCCTTAAATCCTTTCTGGGACAAATCTGGATATAATACACATATGGATAAGTGTATAAGACAGATTAAGACAGATACTTTTAATGGCTTGAAATATTTGCCTGGTGAGATTTTATTTAAGTCAATATGCAAGCATTTATATATTGGGGATATAAAAGAAATTCATCTCTGTTCTTCTAAAATTAATGTCATAAAAATAGTATGTAAAATATTTTTTTAAAATACTGTACTTTTAGTAACTTCAAAAACTAAAGGTGTTCAGGATGCACATGCCTCCTCTACAGGTCAGTTCTATAAATACACCCCTACACACACACACACAGATACACACATCTATTAAAAGCTCCTTCTAGTTTTACTCTCCCCAGCGTAAATATTCAAGCCTATCTCTTGTCATCATATACCTCTTGTACCAATTCACTGCCAAACAATGATCCACCCCAGTCTGTCCTTTTTGTGTCCTGAAAATATTTCTCTTTATTTTACATGTTGCATTTTATACCACACAGATATCAGATTACTTTAAGACAATTAATGTCTACTTTATATTCATCAATGTTACTTTAAAAGTGGTATACACAAACCCAGTGTTCAATAAATGTCTTTTTTTAAAATATTTCAGAGCATAATAAATAAGCAATGCTCAACTGCCTTACTTTCCCCTTTGAAACTAAATCTCAGCCACCGTAAAATTAGAAATTAGCAGTTTTTTCATTATCTTCCTTCCCTTAAATTGCTGTTGTTGCTGTTTCCTAAATGCTGTTACTTAATACCTATATGTAATATTTTTCGTATCTTAGATGTTAGGTATACAAAACTCACGAACCAGACCTATAAACTTCTTTCCTAATAATCATGTACTAGTAAGCACTGAATAACCAATTTTAATGAGTGTCAGAGTTCATCCTCATCGATTTTGCTTTTTCCCTTGAAATTAAAACCCTTTGAAGGTAGGAGTTTTATATAATCCCTATATTACCCAGAACTTACCATAGCTGTACATTCACATATTTTTTATAACAGATGATAGATTAATAATTTATGCATTCATACATGAATTGATACATGCATTCTGACTTCTGTGATATAGCTAAGGGGAAAAAAAATCACCAAGAGAGAGCTGAGATCATGACAGCATGTGAACAGAGAAAGAAGATCTCTTTTACAAAACTCAAACTTTCCTGATTTAGGTAGCAAATAAATAGCATGTTATATACTGTCCTGGAGAAATCAGTGATCCCAGGAGATTAGAAAACGTTGATTATTACAAAGAAGTATAAAGAAATGGGATTTTAAAAAAGACAGAAAAGGAGTGAAATTAGACCTTCCTTTGTGGGTATCATTTGATAATTTAGAAATGGCACATTTACCAGATTTCTACCTAAGTGTTCAATTTTTTGCTAAATGTTTAAAAGAAAAACAAATGAGGGGAAAAAGCATTCATTACCTTTCCAAAGGATCCCTGACCAAGAACTTTGAGCAACTCAAATTGTGCAGGATCTGCTTTCTCATATCCTTCCTTAACATGATGAGTAATAGGGATTTCTTTAACAACTCCTTCATCCTGTAAAAAGAAATCCAAGCAATACTCAAATATAGTTACAACATCTTATGATTAGCTCCATTTAGAATCAGAAATCACAACAGAAATAATTTAATACCTAACTCCTTCAATCTAGCACAGAGTTGAATGGGCTACTAGCATCCCAATTTCCTGGGTTTTGTAACACAGAGATAATACCACAACCTCTATAATTTCATGTAAACAGAAGCATACAAAATATGTGCTTCAGCTTCTGTTCCAACTAAGTAGAGACAGAAAAAGAAAAAAATCAACAACTTAAAGAGTCGCCTTTTAAGACCTTCACAAGTACATGCAGAGAAAGTAAAAAACCTTGTAAATTGTGACATGACAAAAACTGTGAACCTCAAGAGTTCTTTCATTATACCATTTTAAATAGTCAGTGATATACAAATATTTAAATGTCCAGCTATTCATATCATTTTAAAAGAAACTGGCATGGATAAACAAAGTCCACAAAGCCCAAACATGTTTCCAGGCCATATGCCTACTTTTATTGAAATTTTACATACACTGATAAATTATATGCCAGATTTCCTACCAACTGGGTCAGGCAGAAGGCAAGCCACCCTGGAACTGTTTCTACCCCTTGATATAGACTCTATATAAAGACTACAATCAGGTGAACTGTAATTCTAGGCCCTAGCACAGTAGTGAAGATAAAAAACAAACAAATTTTCAGATGTATTACGTATCACAAAATAACAAGAGCTGGAATATAATATCCAAACTTCTGACTGTATAGAGGAGAAAACTGAGACCCACAGAGTTTAAGTTCACATGACTAGTTAATCACGATATCTAGAAGTCATGCTAGCTTTCCATTATATCGTATTAATTCTGGTCTGGATGGCAAAAATGTTCTCAATCAATTCACCTTTTAATTAACTCGTTAACCAATGGTGAATGTGGCCAAAGTGGACAAGAGTATGGTCCCAAGTAAGTTAGGCTTCATGGTAGCTAAAATAATTACCATGTTATATAATCCAGCAGAGTGATTTTAGCTTTAGCTATTAGGACTCATTTGTCAGTCAGAAATGAAGTATCAGTTCTGAAAAATATGCCCCTGGATGTTCCTTTATTTTTAATATTTAGTTTTAATTGATTGATGATTGCTTTACAATATTGGTTTGATTTCTGTCATATATCACCATGAATTAATCATAGGTGTACATATGTCCCCTCCCTCTTGAATCTCCCTCCCACTTCCCACCCATTCCCATCCCTCTAGGTTATTACAGAGCCCCAGTTTGAGTCCCCTGAATCATACTGCAAATTCCCATTGGTTATCTATTTACATATGTTAGTGTATATGCATCCATGCTACTCTCCCCATTCACCTCACCCTCTCCCTCTTCTCCCTGATCCTTGTCCATAAGTCTGTTCTCTAGGTCTGGATCTCCACTGCTGCTCTGTGAACAGATATGTCAGTACCATCTTTCCAAATTCCATATATATGTGTTAATACACGGTATTAGCTTTTCTCTTTCTGACTTAGTTCACTCTGTATAATAGGCACTAGGTCCATCTACCTCATTAGAACTGACTCAAATGCATTCCTTTCATGGCTGAGTAGTATTCCATTGTATATATGTACCACAGCTTCTTTATCCATTCCTCTGTCAATGGACTTCTAGGTTCCTTCCATGCCCTGGCTATTGTAAATACTGCTGCAATGAACACTGGGGTACATGTGTCTTTTCCACTTTTGGTTTCTTCAGGGTATATGCCTAGAAGTTGTATTGCTGGGTCATATGATGGTTTTATTCCTAGTTTTTAAGGAATCTCCATACTGTCTTCCATAGTTGCTGTATCAATTTACATTCCCACCAGCAGTATAGGAGGGTTCCCTTTTCTCCACATCCTCTCCAATACTTGCTGTTTGTGGATTTTTTTTTTATTATGGCCATTCTGTGTGGTATGAGGTGATATCTCATTGTAGTTTTGATTTGCATTTCTCTAATGAGTGATGTTGAGCTTCTCTTCATGTATTTATTAGCCATTTGTATGTCTTCTTTGGAGAAATGTCTAGTTAGGTCTTTTGCCCACTTTGATTGGGTTGCTTGTTTTTCTGGTATTTACCATTACAACTAAAAGAATAAAATACCTAGGAATAAACCTACCTAAGGAGACGGAAGAACTATTTACAGAAAACTATAAGACACTAAGGAAAGAAATCAAAGATGATATAAACAGATGGAGGGATATTCCATGCTCCTAGGTTGGAAGAATCAATATTGTGAAAATGACTATACCACCAAAAGCAATGTACAGATTAAATGCAATCTCTATTAGATTACCAATGGCATTTTTCACAGAACTAGAACAAAAAAATTCACATTCATATGGAATCATAAAAGACCCCAAATAGCCAAAGCAATTTTGAGAAAGAAGAATGGAACTGGAGGAATCTGATTTCACACTATACCACAAAGCTACAGTCATAAAGACAATATGGTACTGGCACAAAACCAGAAGTACAGACCAATGGAACATGATAGAAAGCCCAGAGATCACCTCACACACATATGGGCACCTTATCTTTGACAAAGGAGGCAAGAATATACAATGGGAAAAAGACAGTTTCTTCAATAAGTGGTGCCAGAGGAACTGGACAACTATATGCAAAAAAATTAAGTTAGAATACTTCCTAATACCATACACAAATATTAACTTGAAATGGATTAAAGACCTAAATGTAAGACCAGAAACTACAAAACTCTTATAGGAAAACATAGGCAGAACACAGTATGCCATAAATCATAGCAAGATCCCTTATGACCCACCTCCTAGAATAATGGAAACAAAAACAAAGACAAATAAGTGAGATCTAATTAAACTTAAAAGCTTTTGCACAGCAAAGGAAACTGTAAACAAAGAAAACAGAACCCTCAGAATGGGTGAATATAATAGCAAATGAAACAACTGACAAAGGATTAATTTCCAAAATATACAAGCAGCATGTCCCTGGATGTTTCTTATAGAGCAAAAGAGTATTTCACTGGACTCTTTTAAATAGCTATGAGAGTGAGTTTCCTCTCTGAAAAGGGGTCTTTTTTGTAAAAATGTGAAGGACTTTTTTAATGCAAATACATATGTTTTGTAACTGACATTTTGGAATTACATTAAAGTATGGCATATCTTTATGCATCTTTGCAATATATGTATACCAAAAGCAACATCAAATTGCATACTCATTAATACTATAGCTAGCTGATTTTATACCACATATTATGAATGCAGTAAAAGTCTTCAAAGTATGGACTGTAACAAAAACATAACTTATTGGGAGTTTTCTCCAGTGGAAAGAACACTGGTGGAAAAGTCACAGACTAAGTTTTGCTTCTAGCTCTGTCATTCATAAGCTAAGAAGCCTTGGCCAAATCACAAACCACTCTACCTCAGTGTTCCCATATAACAAAAATTACATTAGATTGTTCTTTAAGGTTTTCTCCAAGTCTGTGATATTATATTGAACACAATACAGCATTTTTACCTTTAACAAGGCACTCCAGGTTCTGCCACATTTACAATCATCATTAAAATATGGGTCATAACATCATTTTTTAAAAAATGTTCAGAGCTAAGTAACAGCTATACTCCATCCTACTTAGTTTCACCAAAACTAAGCAAATCTTAGAACGGAAATGTCTGTCTAATGCCTCTTCTAATTAAAATCCATATACGCCCATCATTTAAAAATGCAATATGTCCTTCAATTTTTAGCAGTATTACACAATAAAATTTCTGACATGAAAATGCTCTAGATTAGAAAAGACTTTTCCCAATAGATAGCCACCATATAATACTGTCACATTGAGTCCTAACAGCTTACCTTTTCTTTCCCACTAGACAGTGAGCTTCCTGTATCCAGGTAATATCACATTCAACTCTGCATTCCTAATGCTTAGCACAATAATTGTTTGACCTTGTGGGAGTGGACAGCCCAAAACAATCCAACCAATTTCATAAAATGGGAATGAAAAAAAAAACTTATTTTTAAGAAGAAAGATTTGTAAAGGTAAAATCAGTAAGAATCTTCAAAATTATCTTTAATTACCTTTAAAAAACAGAAAAATATGTATGAATAATTTATTTTTTAAATACATAAAGGGAATGGGGAAATAGCAGATTCATTCAGAATAATGGAATTATGTCAAATTTGAATAGAACTGACTTTGTGATAACAATATATCAAAATTTAATAATATAAGCATTTTTTCCTTAGAGTGTGAGGAATATAAATAATTTTCCATATTATTCATGATCAGTATTTTTTTTTGGCCATGTCATGTGGCATGTGGGATCTTAGTTCTTCAACCAGGCATTGAACTCATGTCCCCTGCACTGGAAGCATGGAGTCTTAACCACTGGACCATCAGGGAATTTCCCATGATTCAATTTTTATTATACTGTGCTATACTCAACATAAATAAAGGGCATAATGATCCCAGAATCTGTACTTTTAAAAATTGCTGATATTAACTTACTGACTGGCCATCTGCCTTTTATAGATATATGTTCCCAGACAAATAGCTGTATGTATTACATTACTAAATCATGGCTAGTTTGTCTTTTAGACAGTAATTTACAAATTTTCTAGTTTTAAAAAATTACTTTTAGAATATTTATTCAATACACAAATTTGGGTCCCACCTCCAGAGATTATGGTTCATCAGAACTAGAAAGGGAACTCAGGCACATGCATTTTTTAAGGCACTCCCCTGGAGGATGAAATGACCACCACTCCAGTATTCTTCCCTGGAGAATCCAATGGACAGAGGAGCCCAGCAGGCTATAGTCTATGGGGTTGCAAAGAGTTGGACACAACTGAGCAATTGAACACCAAGATATATATATAGTTAGACAACATGTGCACACAAATATACACACACACAATTGGCTAATTATTACAAAATTATTTCAGTATTTGTATGCAACTAGCTCTGTTGCAGAGAAGGCAATGGCACCCCACTCCAGTA